AATTTTAAAAAAAATTCAAAAAAATTTCTTCTTCACTGTAATAGTGCTTAAATGTTTGAAGATGCCATCCTAGACAGTAATTCTTTGCATCCATTTAAACACTGTAAAATTTCAGTCATGCATATTTTCCCAATTTTTAACAAAACACTGCTGAAATTCCCAATTCCATGGGTATGGGTCATGTTCCCAAAATCCTGGAAAAAATCCCTGAAAACATCAATAATTCTATATATTTTTGATATGCATATAACTACAGGAACTAATTTGAGAGGAACACACAACAATCACTGAACAAGTTAAAAATTCTATTTAATATGTACTTGTTTTGAGCATGCACTACGCTTTTTCATATATCTGCAAGTATAATTAATATATGTGTTCAAAACATAAATGACAAGCTTGTGATTGTTGCGATTACAAGCACCTTTTACTTCCCATCACTGTATCAATTATTGCAATTCAACTTGTATCACGTTTTACAACCACAGACAGTAGATGTAGGGTTTTCATTATTAACAGATTGTCAATCTATATCATCGGTAAAATGCTATTAAAATTGGTTGTATTTTCAGCCTGTAGATTAAACTTTACCCTTTGACCCATTGCCATATCAGGTGTATTTGTTGGCTAATCTGTTGCCTCAGATAAAGATGCAAACCCTGTGACTGCGTTTCTATACAGTGAATAAATGCATTCAAACCAAACTTTGGTGTATATGATATTTAAAATATCATCGTTTCTATCACTGGCAATGTAAACCTATCGAAACCATGTTTTTCAGACCAAATCATACCTTGTGAAGACTTGTTGATAACCAGTCCCTTGTGTTCCCCACCGGCAACATGGTGTCTCTGCTCTTCTGTAGCACTCATATTCAACTTCCTCTTTCTCTCTATTCTGATATGAGTTGCCTTCCCTTTCTTTGTGGGGGTCATGATAACTTCTGGAATTTTTTTAACAAAATCATTTATATGCATAATGTTTACTTATTGATGATTTTGTATGACAAACGATTGATGAAAATGGATAGTATTATGCTTGATTCCCTGATCATTTATTGACCTTATCATGAAATTAGCTACCACTTATATTATACTTATTATATAGGAGGATAGATATGGTTTCTTTTCAGTCAGTAATGTGTATGGGGTTATTGCATTAAGTTCAATAATATTCAAACAAAAAGCAGTTCATCAGCCACAAATGATTCCATACCCTATACCCCTGCGATAGAACTTTTGTAGAAAACATGTACAGTGATAAAATATTGAATGGCGGCCTCAAGGTCATAAAACTTTTTCTGAAACTCTTGTCTCGAATCTCAGGAATTTCATTGGTCAATATACATTCTGTCCTGGTTTTTGACTTATTAAATACCTGAGATCTGAGTTTGAGCTAAGACAAAAAAAAATTGTTTTAACTTTGGCCCCTAACAGTACCAGGTACTTAGTCCAGCAAGACTGCATGGATGTCCACCCTGACGACTTGGCTCTACGTCAGTGGCAATGGCTTTATACAGGGTCTTATCCAGCAATTTTGGGAATAGCCCCTTGGTAAAAATTTCTACATTTGGGAAATTTTAAAGTTGAAAATCTACCATATACCTGATGTTTTAATTTTTATGACATGTTTATGTTCATATAACCTGCCACTTTTTTTAATGAAATAACTCAAAACAATTCAATTTTTTGTCAAAAGTTTAAACAGATTTTTAGGCTGCTGATATACATGTATATTTGTTTTTGAAATTGGGTAAAAAGAGGCTATTTTGGATTGGATATTTAGTCTTACTTCAGCCCCTAGTAATAGGATGAAAATCCCCTGTTTTAAATTGTAAGGCTAATATGGCATTTCATTTTCATATAAGATATTATCATGTGTTATAAGTTGATTTCAAACCCTCTGTTTTTGGTGAATGCCTGGTGACATGCCCAGGGTCACACTATAATAATGACCTTCAGATCTTAAGAACAGTTCACAATGTATTTGCCTTGAAACAAATCAAAGAACATTGTTACAAGTTACACTTGAAAGTTCACGTTTTCACAAAAAAAAACCCCAAAAAATCACAGTTTTATCAATCTGTTTAACATACAGTTTAATGAACAAAAGGTCTTCAGTCAAGTTTAGTGATTTATCAAATGCTGAAAAATGCAAGTTCAGTCACTCATTTAAACTAAGGTCAAACTGAAACCTAAAAGCTGTGACACAATGCCTCAATAGGTTTTCTAAGATATACATCTTCATGTGCACACTATAGGTTATATAAATGGACTTTTTTCTTAAAAATTTTGAACTTGTTAAGTTATTTAACTACAAGACTAAGATATCATTTGTCAAATCTTGTAAAAATTGTTCTTAATTTTGTATTAAATACTCCAGTCACCACACACATTAAATAAATTCTATTTCATTGAAATTAAATCAATGTATCTTTTATACATAAAGATATTGAAAAATTACTGTTTGACACTTCAAGGTATTATCAAATACTTCTAAAGTAACTTCCAGACCTTTTCCACCTATTGATAAGGCCCCAGGAAAGATTACAGGGAATTTAAGAAATTTTAAGAAATTGAAAAACTACTTTATAGATAATTTTGAGTCATATGTATGATCAAATATCCTGTCTGTTTATTTAAGAGGCCAGTAAAAAACAGTTTAAATTTTCACAGACATTTAAACAGTTTGATTTTTTTGTGGGCTGCCATTGAGAATATATTTGTTAAAATTGATAATAAACAAAAAGAGATCATTCTTCATTTGAAATGGGGAAATAATTATATCAGCCTTTAACTAGAACTATCACTTAATGTGATTAATACCCCCACAAGTCTGCTTCGGAAATGAGGCCGTTACTAGTAACAGAATACCTTGTAAAAGAATTGAAACATATGGTTATGGTTGTGGGTAATTAAAGATAATTGTGGTTCATGTATGTTGCATTTCCTTTCAATGTAGTTGGCCATTGATGAAGTTTAATTGAATTACTCTGTAATAAGTCCAGAAAGACAAAGAAAAAGAACAAAGGGCAATAACTCTATAAATACTGAAGATAGAGTTATAGTTCTTGTGCACTGCACTTCCTCTTATTGTGCTTGACCATTGTATGAAGTTGTTTTGAATTCAAACCAGTACGTTTTAAGTTATGCTCCGGACAAGGAAAAGTATCAAAGGGCAGTAACTCTGTATTTTGTCAAAATGGAGTTATGGCTCTTGTGCACTGCACTTCCTTTGAATGTCCTTGACAACTGTATGAAGTTGTACTGAATTCCAAACAGTAGTTTTCAAGTTATGCTCTGGACAAGGAAAAGTAACAAAGGGCAATAACCCTATAATTAGTCAAGATGGAGTTATGGTTCTTGTGCACTGCACTTCCCCTTATTGTGCTTGACCATTGTATGAAGTTGTTTTGAATTCCAACCTGTAGTTTTCAAGTCATGCTCTGGACAAGGAAAAGTAACAAAGGGCAGTAACTCTGTAATTAGTCAAGATGGAGTTATGGTTCTTATGCACTGCACTTCCTCTCAATGTGCTTGACCATTGTATGAAGTTATAATGAATTCCAACAATAAGTCTTCAAGTTATGGTCTGGACAAAAGAAAGCAACGGAAAAGTAACAAAGGGCAATAACTCTGTAATTAGTCAAGATGGAGTTATGGTTCTTGTGCACTGCACTTCCCCTTATTGTGCTTGACCATTTGTATGAAGTTGTTTGAATTCCAACCAGTAGTTTTAAAGTCATGCTCTGGAACAAGGAAAAGAAACAAAGGGCAATAACTCTGTAATAAGTCAAAATGGAGTTATGGTTCTTGTGCACTGCACTTCCTCTCAATGTGCTGGACCATTGTATGAAGTTATAATGAATTCCAACAATTAGTCTTCAAGTTATGGTCCGGACAAAAGAAAGCAAATGGAAAAGAAATAAAGGGCAATAACTCTGTAATAACTTTAGATAGAGTTATGGTTCTTATGCACTGCACTTCCTCTCAATGTGCTTGACCATTGTATGTAGTTATATTGAATTCCAACCATTAGTCTTCAAGTTATGCTCCGGACAAAAAAAAGAAGGCAATTGAAAAGCAACAAGGGGCAATAACTCTGTAATTACTTTAGATACAGTTATAGTTCTTGTGCACTGCACTTCCCCTTATTGTGTTTGACAATTGTATGAAGTTGTTTTGAATTCCAACCAGTAGTTTTCAAGTTATGCCCAGACAAGGAAAAGTAACAAAGGGCAATAACTCTGTAATTAGTCAAGATAGAGTTATGTTTCTTATGCACTGCACTTCCTCTCAATGTGCTTGACCATTGTATGTAGTTACATTGAATTCCAACCATTAGTCTTCAAGTTATGCTCCGGACAAGGAAAATGCAACGGACAAAAAAAAAGCAATGGAAAAGCAACAAAGGGCAATAACTCTGTAATTACTTTAGATAGAGTTATGGTTCTTGTGCACTGCACTTCCCCTTATTGTGTTTGACAATTGTATGAAGTTGTTTTGAATTCCAACCAGTAGTTTTCAAGTTATACCCCGGACAAGGAAAAGTAACAAAGGGCAATAACTCTGTAATTAGTCAAGATAGAGTTATGGTTCTTGTGCACTGCACTTCCTCTCAATGTGCTTGACCATTGTATGTAGTTATATTGAATTCCAACCATTAGTTTTCAAGTTATGCTCCGGACAAGGAAAATGCAACGGACGTCTGGACCGACCGACCGACCGCCCGACCGACCGACCACCGGGTGACTCCTATATACCCCCCCAAACTTCGTTTTTGGGGGTATAATAATAAGGCAACAAAGTCCTGACTTATAATATCAGTGCTTTTTTTCCTTTTAAAGCTGAGGTCGTTTAATTTTTTAGGGTGGCTTCCCCAAACAAAAATTGTTTTAAATCATGCTGTTTTCCCCTAAAATTGAGGTGATATCAAGTCCCTCCCCCCCTCCTTTAACAAAATTACAATATTACATTTTCCCAAAATTAGGGGAAGGGCTGCTTCCCCCAGCCTGTGAAAAAAAAGCCCCTGAATATTCAATCTAATTTACCACACAGCCTTTAAACTTAGAATATTTATTAACAAGTGAAATTAATTACACTAAAGTTACATTGTGTGAAGTTGTATAAAATAAACAGGCATCATAGTGCCTCCTACTGGAGATATAAAAGAAATACCAGGCTTTTCCTCAAGGGAGGAACATCATGTTATCATTACTGTTTGATATTCATTCAACTCAGGCAATTAACAACATGGAGGGAATGTGTTTCTCTGTTATATTAACTGTTAAATAGATAAAATAATGCAACTATATATTTTGTTCCTCACTCCTATCTTTTACCTGTAGTGCATTAATTTTCTTTACCAGATTTGCTCTACAGTCAAAGACTTTACACCCTACACTTGCATTTATTACATTCAGTTCAATACATTGAACATTCATTATTAACAAGTTTATATAACTATATACTGTAGCATTATACCACCACTTTCTGAGTGACACAGAAATTACTTATAATAACTGGACTGGACACTAGGAATACCATTCCAAAGCTCTACCTACTGAGCTATCCAGCCGCTTACTTTTTCCCCCTAAAGAGTGAAAGGCTCTAAACCGTTACACAAGCATCACTTAAACTTTAATTTTCAGTTAGGTTTACATCAACATTTTTTCTTAATTCATGTACTCACCCTCTTCATCTGCCATTTTGAGTCCTGAAAATATAAAGAACAAAGTCAGGGTTTCATGTATAACTTTTTTCCCACTTCAAAAAACTTTTTACAAAATACAGTACACTATTGGTCTTCATCAAGCTGAAACACATGATATATACATGTAAAAGAAAAGATGAGGACAGCATTTTCTGATATCTGTTAGATCTATGCTTGTCATTTTATGCTTTGATAATGATTTTTTTTTTTTAAGCTTACTCATATGTCAAAATTAACGACACATAAATGTGGACAATTTTCCATAATTCACAGTAGATATCAATGATATAAAGAAATCTGCAGAAATAGATATAATACATACATGTAGTAAAAGAGCTTATTACGAAAACCAAGAATACTTAGGTTTTGTCCTCAGGAATAAGGAAAAGGCCTTAGTCTGTCTTTCATTTATGGGAAATAATTTACATGCAATTTAAATTATACTGGGAAAAATACGACTGAAAATGTGTTCTCATGAATTTTCACAAGTCATTCTCAACAACTGCAGTAGGGTTGTAAGGCCTTCTTGTGTATTGCCAGTCTCACTTGGTAATCCAATCTGACCAATTCAGACCCGACGATTCACAAATCAAACCAAAAATCAACTCATTACATATTAATACTAAAAGAAATCACTTTGTTTACATTTTTTATGTCTGAATCGTGAATATAATTATGATTATCTGAATAATCATAACAGCCCTTAACTGCAGTGCTCTAACTTCTAAGGGTTCAATAGTGTCATGCTAAAGTTGTTGCATACTGTCTAGGTGATTCTGAACGGAAATGACTCAAAATCAGTATGTGCCAGCAGCCAACCAAGACTATTTTATGTTGCCACTTGTTGAATTTACTGTTGACTCATACCAAGTGACAAAAGATTATGAAACTTAAGATTTTTTACCATCATTTCCTACATTATCAACTCAAACATTTGTAAATTTACTGAAAACAAACCCAGCAGCCTATACAAACAATTACAAATAGTGCACACAAATAGTTACTCACATAGCAATAAATAATAACAATAATATACATGATTACATCCGTTAGTCTAAATAATTTGTTAATAAATACATTTGAATATTTTGATTTACAAGGGTATTTTTATTTTGTTATGCATAACTTTGATGTATGAATTCTGAAAGTGATGCGTATTTTAGATTTTCTATGCATATTTCACGCTGGTACGCATGCTATCTGGAGCTCTGAAGTCTATTGAACTTTAAAGATGTGTATTGATTATGACCTTGACATTTCTGAACGGGTAACCAATTGAGGAAAAAAACATCCAGGTCATACGTAGTATGATGTCAAACAGGTGTTAATTGTTTACCATTTTTCTTAAAAAATGACATTTCAGACTGCATACATATTTAAGGCTTAAGTTTACTTACATACAAAGTAGAGGTTACTTATGTACAACAGTAACATGTAAGCATGATGTCACGCATATCAATGTCTATTCTAGGAGGGGGAATAGGGAGATTCACTCATATTTTTGAGAATTCCCCATATTTTTTCAGGCAGGAGGAGAATTTTACAACGTGAAAGAAGGAAAAAAATCATCAAATATAATAAAATCTCGCTTTCTGATAAACATCCCCCCTGTTTTTCGATTTCTAAAATAGACACTGGCATATGTGCTAAAATCACTGTTTAAGGTCATGAAAGAATGAAAAACCAGCATTTTCTCTTGTACTTGTATGTATGCAAACAAAGTATATGTAAATAAACTTGATGCTGTAAATACATAAAAAAAAAATTTGTTTACTAAGACAATACACGGATTGACAGTTTCCGAACTAGCAGACGACAGGCTATTCTTATCGGTAGAAGTGCTAGTAAAGATAACCGATTGTGTATCTTACTGTATAAAACATATGTAAAATGGTCTGACTATTGATAGGTTTAACTGTAGATTTAAATACCTTCAGTGTCAAACAATGTGATTCAATAAATACTGAGACGAAGCTAAGATCACAAGCTTTTCATTGATGTAATAAATTTTAAAGCGGACATAAAATTGCCCCAAAATAGCAGTTTAAAAACATCTAAATTTGCATTGTTTTAGCATTAATGATATCAATTTTACTCGAAGATAAGGGAAACAACTCGTGTTTTTTCACTTGATATACTTGATATACCATGGTTATTTACATAGTTCATATAGAGACTGTCAATGGGTGTATAGGGCATTTCCACCAACCTACATAAAAAAAGTCATAATTTTTCAAAATAAAAGTTAAAACATAGAATGATAGATATTAAATCATCAATTACATTCAAACGATTTGCTGTTGAACAGATTACTTCTTTGTTTATGATTCTTTAAAGGGAAATGTACAAACATAAGTCATTTACTGATCATACAAAATCTGCAAAACATCACGCTATAATTTACAAGGGTGGCGCCAGTGTTCGAATGCTGCAGGGTACGAATCCACGCCGAATACGCCCATACTGCTCGATAATCGCAATACATTTCATAAATCACAAACAGGTACAATAAATTTATCAACACATATAATAACTTCATCGCGAAACTTACGATTTTCTTTCCTGCTAATCAATATAAGATGATAATAACTTTCAAAATTATTTACAACTTTCTTACTTCCGCTCCAACAAGTGTCACAAACCACGCATGCGCTGAAGTTGACCTCAATAGCCTAATTTGAATACGTTTTTAACAAAAAGCTGATCATGAAGCATTCTGCCATTGGGTGGTGTAAATGAATAAAAAAGATTTTTTGCTCACATTTAATAAAGATCTATTTTACTATTTCGAGCACTTTGACCTCGGACCGCCTTATAAGAGATTTTTTTTTCAGAAACTCGAGGTCAAAGTGGTTAGAATTACCAATTGTATTTTATATTAATCTAGTTCTGAATTGTGGTATCTTAATTAGGTATGCACATTGCAGCCAATCGTCTCATTTTAAGCATACATGTATATCCTACTAAAACTTCGCTCAATGCAGATTAGCACATTTTTTTCATTAGCATGTTACACGGATTTATAGCATGTTACACGGATTTATATTACACGGATTTATAAATCCGTGCATGTTAGAACACAGGGACCCAGCACAGTGTTGGGATATTGTTAAAAAGTAATTCTAGAAAAAAATATATACTGTATATATAATATATAGACAAGGGGTTGATTGGGTCATTTAAGAGCCCTTTTAAACTTACTTTTCAACTAGAGTCGTTAACCCTTTACCTCATATATACGCGAAACAACGCACTTTCGACCCCCCCCCCTTTTTTAGGCCTGAAATAGTGAAAAAATGTCCTATTTGGGCCCCAAACACATGTTTTCGTTTGAGAAATGTTGCTAAAAAAAGTGAGCACTTTTTCGGCGCCGCCCCCCATCCAAAAGATACATCAGGGGGTTGCCAGAAGGGGGATGTGCCCCCTTCTGTTTGGGGGGGGGGGGGGGTTGAAGGGGGGCGGAGTCCCCCTCATCGCCAAGAAAATTTTGGACTTGTGAGAGGCTTAAAATGACCCCAGGTCGATCATAAGGTAACGTGTAACCAACGCTGAAAAGCCTTTGACTCTATCTCAATCCCTTGAGAAGTTGCAGCACTTTGAAATAAATTTTGATGGAAAAAATCGAGGCAAAAAAGTGATTTTTGGCAATTTTGAGATGTCCCCTCGTTGCCATGGTAACAGGAAATTTCAGACTGAGCATGTTGTTATAAAGGCAATGGTCCAGTCAACATTTGTGCCAAGTTTGATTAGTATTGAAGCATTTTTCATAGTTTCATAGCAGTTTGAACTTGTAAGTGGAGGCTTTTCAGTGAAAATGGCCATTTTTCACAATATGCTCATGGGGGAAAGGGTTAACTAAAACAATTATAAATGTTACAAAACAACAATTTTTCACCAAAATTAGGTAAAAGACCACATGTTAACATGGAAAAACTAGATTTTGGGTGATTCCAAAGTTTCTCATCATTTTTTGTTAACCCTTTACCTCATATATACGCGAATCAACACACTTTCGACCCCCCCCCCCCTTTTTAGGCCTGAAATAGTGAAAAAATGTCCTATTTGGGCCCAAAACACATGTTTTCGTTTGAGAAATGTTGCTAAAAAAAGTGAGCACTTTTTCGGCGCCGCCCCCCATCCAAAAGATACAGGGGGTTGCCAGAAGGGGGATGTGCCCCCTTCTGTTTGGGAGGGGGGGGGTTTGAAGGGGGACGGAGTCCCCCTCATCGCCAAGGAAATATTGGACTTGTGAGAGGCTTAAAATGACACCAGGTCGATCATAAGGTAACGTGTAACCAACGCTGAAAAGCCTTTGACTCTATCTCAATCCCTTGAGAAGTTGCAGCACTTTGAAATAAATTTTGATGGAAAAAATCGAGGCAAAAAAGTGATTTTTGGCAATTTTGAGATGTCCCCTCGTTGCCATGGTAACAGGAAATTTAAGACTGAGCATGTTGTTACAAAGGCAATGGTCCAGTCAACATTTGTGCTAAGTTTGATTAGTATTGAAGCATTTTTCATAGTTTCATAGCAGTTTGAACTTGTAAGTGGAGGCTTTTCAGTGAAAATGGCCATTTTTCACAATAATTATGCTCATGGGGGAAAGGGTTAAATAGCCCGTTTCAACTTATTTATCAATACTTTTTATTTATGTACTATCATCAAACTAAAATAATACAACCTTTTTATTCATATTTTTTCTGATTACAGCGCCATTTTCCTAATACTGTTTATTCTTGTTAATACATTTTTTGTTATTTTTTTGTCATTGTCCAAGTTCAAAAACCATCGGGCAGTATAGCAACTTTTATTTTCTCTTCGATCTTTTCGTTATTTCATCTTTTATGAAAATGCATGATTACTTAATGCATACTTACTTTAATATAAATCTTTACTTTATGAAATTGATCTAAACATTGACAGGGAAGGCCCAACGAAAATGCTGCAAAATGTTTTGGCCAAACCTGCTTGTATATTGTGTTGATTTGTTTATGTAAAAATTGATGTATAATATTATTAAACTAAAAACATAAGGTATTGACTCGCTCGTCCGTACGGTGTCACTCCTGAGCATGAAACTAGAACTATTTTAATTATAAACCAACAACTCTATATGTGGTAACATTTCATTGAATAGTGTAGTGCCCAAGAATCATAACTCTGTGTCTGTAAAATTATTGAGTAATTGCCCTTTTAAATTGTTCATGCTTGATTGTTGTCCTTGCGTAACCCAGGAAAGAATGGAAATATGAACTTGAATTTTCAGAAATAGACATAATATTATTTTATTCAGGATCGTAAGACGCTCACATATACGAGTAGTATAGTATGTAAGAACTGTATAACTTTCAAAAGAAATAAAGTTTTTTCTTTTGTAAATTTTGATATTTAATTTCCTTTTCAGGACGTCGTAACTGAAAAGAATTGGTTTTATTTTAGATCATCTTTTTAAAACTTGATTAATGGATTAATCGTATTTTAAAGCATAAACAGTATAAACATGCCTTCACTACACTCAAATCTAAAGATTTTTTTGCTATATATGAAATGTAATGTCATTTCCGCTGATCCACATGTGCACTAGAACACCAAATGTGAAAAAGAAAATAGGTCAATAAATGTAATTCTACTCGCTTTTCTCTATATTTACCCATTTTTGTATCGCATTTTACGCAGTATTCGTCGATCGAGGGTTCTGGTGTGTCTAAAGCATGCAATACGTATGACAAAAATGTCACTAAACAGACTCAAATACAGTGTTTTTACAAAATCTTACCACTGAACGATGATAAACATTCAAACAAACCCATATTAAAACTATATATATAATAAATTGAGATTCGGCTCAAAATAAAGGAATCGCTGTCAAAATTCCATCTGAGCTCCATATGTGCTGAAGGGATCCATAAGTGTGTGCTCATAAAGACGGATTACTTCCATTAAGCAATCTGTGTTGAATTCTTTTATGTATCATTCTGTAATTAAAACTGATGACAATTCAAAATTAATTGACTAACTGAAAATAGTACGTGCACATCTGGATCAGCGGAAATTTTAAGAGACCATATAGGGTCCCCCGTTGTCTATATGGTTGATAAATAAATAAATAAATAAATAAATAAATGATTGATAAATAAATAAATAGGTAGGTAGGTAAGGTAGGTAGGTAGGTAGGTAGGTCGGTCGGTCGGTCGGTCGGTCGGTCGGTCGGTCGGTCGGTCGGTCGGTCGGTCGGTCGGTCGGTCGGTCGGTAGGTAGGTAGGTAGGTAGGTAGGTAGGTAGGTAGGTAGGTAGGTAGGTAGGTAGGTAATAAACAAACAAACAAACAAACAAACAAACAAACAAATAAATAAATAAATGTGAATGAATATGAATAAATAAATATGAATGAATGAATGAATGAATGAATGAATGAATGAATGAATGAATGAATGAATGAATAAATAAATAAATAAATAAATAAATAAATAAATAAATAAATAAATAAATAAATAAATAAATAAATAAATAAATAAATAAATAAATAAATAAATAAATAAATAAATAAATAAATAAATAAATAAATAAATAGGTAGGTAGGTAGGTAGGTAGGTAGGTAGGTAGGTAGGTAGGTCGGTCGGTCGGTCGGTCGGTCGGTCGGTCGGTAGGTAGGTAGGTAATAAACAAACAAACAAACAAATAAATAAATAAATAAATAAATACATAAATAAATAAATAAATAAATAAATAAATAAATAAATAAATAAATAGATAAATAAATATCTCAACCATGTTTAATGACCTCTTTATTTCACACCATCATTTCTTTACCAAAAGGATTTAATATAGACTTTGGACCCTAAAAAAATGAAATAAATAAATTAAAACTATGCCAAATGAGGTTCGATATGCATTTGATATTAACCTTTTGGACTCTGGAAACGAAAACGAGGCTATATGGGGTGTGATATGAATTTGTACGGATATTTTTTTACTCTGGACAAGTAAACGAGGCTAAATTGATAAGATTGGTCTATAGGAACATCATGTGATGAAAATGCTGTATATTTTAAAGGGTGTGAAATAAACAGGCCAAAATAACTCAAATTTTAATTTTATCCAGCAAATGCATTGAATTTCAGAAAAAAATCGTATACAATATATAGAGTCTATACTGAATGAATGTATAGGTTCGATACTGAATTTATTGAACGAGTTGACTTATTGCTCTGGTGAGCATAACGTTTTTTCAAAAATTTAGTATTGAACCTACAAGAATATAATATTCTAGTTCAATATCATATCCAAAACAGTAAAAAAGAATCACATTTTCATGACGCGTGTATACGCGTAGCGCATATGATGTCAAGTAAAAATGTACAATACCATTCTTACAGAAAAGCTGCACGGGTAACTGTAAAACTTCCGGTCATGTCGGACGTGTTTTGAGAGGCTCCTTTAACTCTGTTTAATTCTTTGGCTTTATTTGACAAT